GGGCACCCCCTCCTTTCTCCAGCGGTGACATTAATTTAAGCTCCCGACACGTGCGGACATGAGAGTGGAGAGCCCATCTGAGCCGCAGGCTGCAGCAGCTCTGGTTTATTGATGATCTCGCTCAGGGAGATGGAGCAGGGTCAGGGGAGCTCCTTTATCTTGCTGGAAGCTCATCAAAAGCCCGTTCGAATCTCCTTGTGCTGTGCTGAGCTTTGCAGGACAGATGTCCTTGAGCGTAAGTTCAAGGCAGGTTGTCCTGTCCCAGGTCCCATGAGACATCCCTTGTGGCAGCCTCATTCCAGCAGCGAGCGTGCTTCCCTTTTTTCCAGGAAACTTCCCAAGGGGGTCACGTTCCCTCGGCTGTGGGAGAGCAAAGACGGAAAATGGGAAGCTTGCTGAGCCTGCGGCTTTGTCCCCTGGTCGCTGCTCCGGGCTGTGCCTGGCGGGGAGCACAGCCGGGATGATGCCGGGGTGCAGCATGCCTGGGGAGCTGGATATCTGCCCTTCCCAAGGAATGGGACATGGACACAGCTCAGGGCTCGGGCATTGATCCCGCTGGGAGCGTGGGGACCGGCACAGCCGCGGAGCAGGGCAGGCAGAGCTGCCCTGCTGTGATTTATCGCCCGGCTGGGCTTGTGCTCCCTCCCATCTGTCTGGGCTTCCATCTCCCATGGATAAATCAGCCTGAAGCGTTTGATCCCACAGCAGCAAGGGGAACTGCAAACTTCCAGGGCAGGAGCAAGGCAGGGACTTTTATTTCTTGAATGCTACAGTGGTTTAAGGAACATTTGTCTGTGTGAAAGGCCAGGACTGTGACATGTCTGTGCCACAAGGAGGGATTGAGGCTCGCAGTGACATAACCTGCTTGGGTTTGTGGAGAAGGGGAGGTGAACACTGCACAGCCAGTTTAGTGCCCTCACTGATCCCCAGAAAGCTTTTCGGGGGAGTGGGGGGCACGAGCATCTTTCACACGACCAGACACTGGCCCTTCCTGGGTTAAATGGGAGTGACTGTGGGGCTGGATCTGTGCAGAGGGAGCAGACTCAGAGCAAGGAGTCATGTTGAGCTTTGCTGCTGGTCACAGGGATGCTCTCCCCAGGGGCTCATCCATCCCCTATGCTGAGGCAGGGGCTGTGGCACCCTATGGCTGTGATCCAGGGGAGATGGAGGGGATACAGCACAGGGCCAGAGCAGGGGCTCCTCTAGGAGCTCTGAGAGCCCCTGGCTCCAGCAGCAGGACAGAAGGGTGAAGTCATGCCCATGTCATCCCATCCATCTCTGCTGCTTGCAGGCTGGTCCCGGGGGAAGTGCAGGCTTTGGCAGCTCTAAGTGGGGTTGGAGGCGGATGCAATTCTGGAGAATAAGATTCCCTTGCAAAACCTGTAAAATGAAAAAATTAAAGTTCTTGGCTGAGAAGCTTGTTTAGAGATCTTATCTCTGGCAGAGGAAATAGTTCTTAATTCCCTCCCTTGATGCCTCCCAGCAAGTTCTGGGTCCCCAGAGGGGCACAGGCCATCAGCTCTGTCAGGAAATGAGCTGGGGAAGCAGCTTTTGTTCACGGAACTGAGACTGACCCGAAGTGGCTCTGGGTGATGCTGCTGCTGCTGCCACGTGCAGTCCCTACTGTGGGGAGAGGCAGGTGGGGTGTGCGTGGGGTGGGCAGACTGCACAATGCATTTGAGACAGATTGCAGGCAAAAATCACATATTTTGAAGCCTTGGGTGGAATCAGGAGGTGGTTTGGGCGATGCTGCTCCCCCTGCTCAATCCCCTGGGTCCCCTGGGCAGGGCTGCCTGGGTTCTGCAGAGGGAGGAATGGGGGCCACGGCCATTACACACTCACTGCACTGCTCCTGTCAGCACTGGGGAGGTGCTGGGATATTGTGTGCAGTGGCAGGAAAGGTATTTAAGCTTGGTGCCATCCGTGCCTTGTGTGCTTTGTGGCAGAGCACACTGGGGCTGGGCTGTCCAAGGACCCTCTTGACTGTCTTGCCATTGAACAGAGGGACAGGGGATGAGGAGGGTCCAGGCTTCTGCCTCATAGTGGGTCACTGGGGAGAGCAGAGTCCCTGCTCATTTGGCTTTTGTCCCTTGTGTTTATTGTCACCTCCACCCGCACCGAGAGCCTCCTCTGAGTCATCTCCCAGCTCAATGGAGTGTGTGGGCTTAGTGCTGCTTTAGCTGTTCATCCTCTGCTGTGCTGGAGCCTGACACGGGCAAGTGGAGCAATTCATCAATGTGGGGATGAGGCAAATGAATGTCCTTTGCCGATACAATGGACCTTGCTCTCCTCCCACCAGCTCAAGCAGCAGCTGGTGTCGCTCTGGCTCACAGAGGGCTGCTGAAGTGGCTGCTGCTTGAGGAGCTCAAGAGGTCTTAAAAGAAACATGGACTTATGTTTTGTGATTAAAGACTTAGTGCTTCAGCTGTAAAACACAGCTTCTTTGGAGAGGAGGCTCTTGAAAATGTTTCTGTGTGCAAGCAGATAGAGAGAGCAAAGCCATGGCTGCAGCACCTCACCTCTGCTCTGAGGTTTAACCAGGTGAGGTTGGTGCTGACACTCAGGGAGTGTGACTGGCCTCACGGCCACAGTGGCTGCCAGGGCTGTCCTTGCCTTTCCCACGCTGGCCCTGGCTGTGGCCTTTGCCATGTGCAGTTCTGCCCCAGCACAAGCCCCACTCCCAAACCCCAAGGAGCACAGGGCTGGTGGCTCTTGGGGGATTCTGTCAGCTGTCAAATGCTTGAAGCACCTTTGTGGAGTTCAGCAAACCTCTTTGCATATGAAATAGCAGGTCTCCAGAGAGCAAATCCAGAGTGAAACATCTCTCCTGGTGACTGACATCAACTTCCTCATTAATGGTGCTTTTCAGCTGTGCTGTGCGGTCACCTGCTTTTACCGGCTCCTCACCTGCTGCACACGTGAGAGGCTCCAGCCCCAAGCTCCTGCTGGGGTTCAGTTTCACCCCATTTTCAAGGGCTGAGATGGGAATCGGAGGCCATGGAGCTCACAGAGTGTATTTTGGGTCTGGTCACAAAGAAGAACAAGATGCCACGAGCCTGGAGGCAACATGATCCTTGTCATCGGTGTAGCTTAAACCAGGGGAAAGAGCAGAAGTGTTCTTGGAGGTGCCACAGCACTTGTGACAGAGATTTTGGGGGTGACTGCATTTGGTGGGGAACAGCAGTGTAGCACAGTGAGTCTCTGCAGCTGCACCTGTCACCAGGACAGGGACAGTCTCGGGGTTTGTCCCACACTGGGGGCCAGTGTGACTGGAGGCAATGCAGCCCCTTCCCTGACTGCAGGCCACATGCTCTGGGCAGGACTGGGGGGGATGTTTCAGCACCCCAGGCTGCCCCTCACAGTGGGTGCTGCACAGCGAGTGCCCAAGATAACCCAGCAGGAAGCGTGAGGAAACACAGCTTGGGGCCCCCTTGCCAGCCAGTGAGCGGGGCCGCTCTGGCATCGCTCCGGCTGTGGTCGACCAGCATCCCCGCGGCCCCACTGGGCTGAAAACATCCATTTTAAGTGCCTGTCGGCAGCGATTAAGGAGCACAATGCTGACGGCCGTGCGGGGGGAGCCCACGGCCACGCGGTGCTGGGGCTGCCGCAGGGGGAGCGGGAGGGAAGGACTGGCTGCCCAGCA